TTGCCTTTATACCAATACTTTAATTGGACGTATTCACAGTTTCAACAAACAAGTGGGAAAAAAAACATTCTGGTGAGCAGTGAAGAATATGAGACGGCTTCATTTCACGCAACAAGATCGCTCTGGTGGCTCACATTGGCGCAACCGTCATGTAATTCTAAACATCGTCACTATTGCCCACTCTCTTCAAGAATGTTTCTTTCCCCTATTCACCTCGACTTCATGCAGAGATTTCACTTGTGGATAGACAGGGAACATTTGGGGAAAGGGGCAAAAAAAAAAAGAGTTAAAAATTCAGCTGTTTGCATGTACACATTCAACTTACCCCGGAAACTTTAAGATGTTTATTCTCCATGTTTGTGTGCATGTGTGAAAACACCATAATCAGTGTCTGCGGATCAAAAGTATTACAGATCAGTACATGGAGGGCGGAAGATTTTATTTACATTTGTCTGAGACTAAGCTCTAGGTATGTTAGGTTAAACAGAAGATGCTAGCAAGCAACATAAGGTGGTTTTGGTCCAAACAGTTCTGGGGACTTTTTGAGGAGGAACTTCCCTGAGAACTTCACACCATGGCTGACAGTGATTCATTTTGTTTTAGTCTTATTCCGTTTCTTCATCTTCTCAGGGTACTGCTTTGCTGCGTGGTGGATACAATTTGTCTGTTGTTGTACTTGTACTTGTGTTTGTTTAATGTTATTTGCTAATGTTTGTGTACAGTGGGATTTCAAAATGGCCGTTGGTGGTACTGGATTGGCTCTTTTGTTCGACTAATTAACGTACACTGACGTATGGACCAATCACGTAGCACTTACGTCACTCAAAGTCCCGTTTTTTGCTGGGAGAGTAGTGAAGCAGGAGTCAAAAGGTTTCTCTTAATGGAGTTCTAGGAACTAAAAAAAAATCATAGTTCCTCCGGTGCAGAATCAACAGTTGCAACAGTTTCTGCTACTATGAAAGAGTTCTATGAATTGTTCATAAATAAGCACAACAAAAACATCAGATAGATTTAAGACCATGCCTTAAATATATGTACAGTTGCAGGAAAAAGTATGTGAACCCTTTGGAATTTCTTAGTTTTCTGATTAAATTGGTCATAAAATGTGTTCTGATCTTCATCTAAGTCTCAACAATAGACAAACACAGTCTGCTTAAACTAATACCACACAAACAATTATATGTTTTCATGTTTTTGTTGAACACAACATGTAAACAATCACAGTGCAGGGTGGAAAAAGTATGTGAACCCTTGGATTTAATAACTGGTTGACCCTCCTTTGGCGCAATAACCTCAACCAAACGTTTCCTGTAGTTGCAGATCAGACCTGCACAACGGTCAGGAGGAATTTTGGACCATTCCTCTTTACAAAACTTTTTCAGTTCAGCAATATTCTTGGGATGTCTGGTGTGAATCGCTCTCTTGAGGTCATGCCTGTAGCATCTCTATTGGGTTGAGGTCAGGACTCTGACTGGGCCACTCCAGAAGGCGTATTTTCTTCTGTTGAAGCCATTCTGCTGTTGATTTACTTCTGTGCTGTTCCCCCTTATCTATATGAGCACGTTTTTCTTTCCCTTCTCCCACCCTGACCCTCGGAGATTTACACCAGTGACCTTTTGTGGATGAAAAATCATCTCTGAGTGTTGATGTGAGTAATATGTTTCCACTCCACACCATGCACAGCCCTGTTATCTACTCTGCTGCTGCAAAGTGTGAGGCTGAATCAGGCCGTCTGAAACCATCTGATCAGTCCAGCCAGAGCTCAACTCAGTGACCTGACAGAGGAGAGGATGCTAGCAGAAGCTTCTGTTCTCTCTTTCTTTGCACCGAAACACCCCCGCTGAAAGCCCCTTCAACAAAATAATAACTCAGTGGCCTAAATCACGAGATGAAATGAGATCCACACGGCAACAATAAAAATAGATCTAAGTGAAAGGCCCCGTGGTTACAAATATTTTCAGCACAGCATCATTGTGAGTGAACAAACTCTGATCTGCTCCTCCTGTCGCCAGGATAACGTCAGGCTAAAAATAGTCTGGAATCAAAGAGTCTGAGTTAGGTCGATTGAAGCTGAATTCAGTCCAAGCATTGGCATTTACATAACGCCTGGCAGTTTAAGTGGAGAGCTGCACGAGTTTTTAGAGCAAAAGATATCACTTCAAATCTGCACTTTAACGCGCAATTGGATCTTCACATCAATAAATTAGGAAGAGTGCTGGAGCAGCACATGAGGTTCTTTAACCTTGGAGAAACAAGGATGAACATCTTTGGGCAATTAATCTGATTTAAAGGGATGGAACAGTCTATCAAATCTACTTTAATGACCAAATAAATAATAATAAATGTCCAAATATGAACAACAGAAGGCCTAAACTAAAGAGAGCCAAGCCCTACTTTAATCAAGGAATTTTTGACTGTTTCTGTGAGCTGTCATCTGGAATATCTGAGACATTTATATTTAGATTCTTTGGCTGGAAAAAACAGCTGATCTAGATGTTCTTGCTCTTTCTGTTTGAAGAAACAACACATCATAAATAGTTAAAATCAAAAATATACATTTTTTAAATGAGCATTGCCGGTTTCAAAACGTGCTTTTTATTCAGACCATTTATGCTCACATTAGTTGTAAGACTGTTTATATGGCAAAGATTCTCATATCCTGTAAACAAAGTACAGTACTTGAAAAAGAAACTTGGGGGAAAAAAAAGTCCCTTACAGACCTATCAAAAGCCTCACCCCATCAGTCTGTACTGTCAGCCGCTGAAAAGCAAGCTAATGTAATTTAGGGTCTTCTGTTATATGAATACAAATCTAAAACATCTAGTTTTGCTCTGTTTATAGAATGGTGTCATTTCAGTTTCTGCAAACTTGCCTTATATAATAATTGGGTGTGGTTATGCAGAAGTGCAATACTGATGCCAGAATCCGTAACACCTGCAACGACGCCTTTTATTGGGGGTTGGTATCAGTGAATACCAATCTGATGCCATTATTTAATTAACCTGGAAGCTGGTGAAAGTAAACCGAATGTGGAATCGCATCCCGTCGCTGAATTTCATCCACTCCCAAAACTCACCTGAGCGCTGTCATTGACTGGAAGAAAAACACAACCACTCCCCCACCCAGAAACATCCAAGCAAAACATCGAAATCCAGGCAGAGGAGGCTCATAAGTGATGATTGAGCAGCATTATGTATGAGTCTATATTTATTTTTTTTAGGAGAAAGCTACTGACTCTATGTGCAGACTCTATGTGCAGGGAGGAATACGTCAAACCAACATGATCGGCACAAAACGAACACATCCATCCAAACAGTCAAATTAACTGCTTTTGATCTATGGTTTCAAATAGCTTTATATTGTTCATTATAACTTCAGTGCATTCATAATAGGACTCTGAACATGGATTTTAAATGGTCATTTTACCATTTTAAGCCAAATTTCCGAGGCTTTTCAGAAAGGTAGAATCAAAGAAAAGATACAATGTTTTACTTATTTGGTCTTTAAGCCCCTTGACGTGATTTTGTTCTGACCATTTCACCACTATGCCCATGATGGACTGGGTTGTACTTTCTAACACTGTTCTTGTCTTGCTTCAGCACATTGTGTCTCCAAAAGCAGCAGTAAGGCTAAGACTACACCATTTGTTATTGCTCAGCTTTGTTACTGTAAACATTAAAGGCTGTGTGCTGATACAACATGTATCAGCAGAAAGTCCACTGTGGGCTGCAGCAGACTGTTTCAAATTGATTCCTGTAAGACTGTTTGCTCGCAGGCCTGCTTGCTGTTTGCATGTCTCAGTCACATATTGTCTCAGGAGTGGAGACTTCAGCAGTGAGTACACAGCAGTGTGTCATCATTAGTTTTAGTCACATGGTCAATATAAAAATTGTTTAAGATAATATTGATCTAGTGTGTGGAAATGGTTTACTATCTTTATACTTGTCCCTATCCTCCTCAAAGGTTTCTGAGGTCAAAGACCCCTACCACCTTGGATGCTTGTTAATATGGGGGCTTGAACATGCATGGTCTACTCTTGTGTAGTCTTTCCCAGTCTTGCAATCTCATTTAAATGCCTGCTAACATCCAAATTCAATTCCATTATTAACTGGGGAAAAGGTCTCAAACACACCGAAATATAGCTGTGTTCCACTTCAGGTGCTTTCCCCAAAAGACAAGACAAATCTTTGTTTCCATCACTGAGATTAGAGTCTAAATTAAGTTTATGAGACATAAATTCCCTCCCAAAAAAAGTCCCTGGTAAGGATTGGTATTTTCCAACATTAGGGAATATTAGCTATGGCGCATGAGAATAATTGAATTGTTGAGTAGTCACAAATACAAATTATTAAACCAGCAAAAATCATTCATCAGAAATCTCTTTTGTAACATCTTAACATCTGTAACATCTGTAACATCTGCAGTGGAAATACAGTCAATGACCTGATGACATGAATTAATTACACGAAAAGTAGATGCATTTCTGAGAGTTCAAGTTCCAGGTGAACTATAACCTCACAAATAACGGATTATTTAAAGGAGCATCCACAACTTTTGCATTGGACTATAGCCTACAGACACATCGCCTATAGTTCAAATCTGTCTCCATACTTCACTCCATCCATGAGCAAGATGAACCTATAGCCTAGAGATTTCACAAAAAAATGTGGGATGTTTGTGATCCCTGAAAAACTTAAATGCAGAAGTATTTTTGTAGGCCTATGTGACAATTGGCATTTCAAAACCAACCTACTGAGCCGATCCACTCAACATGAAGATTGTCCATTAACAGCATTGTATTCGATGTTGTAATAATCAACATTATTTAAAAATGTCTTAACGGGTGGAACGCCTTACAAATCATTGTTTAAACGTTACATTACAGGAAGAGAGAGAAAAAAACTACAATTCCCAGATGCAGCTGGGCGCGACATACCAGCCAATGATTGGCAGCAAATTGGAGTGACGTTGCTCTCTGGTCCATTTATATGTGCGATTGGAGCGCTCGTGCACAGAGGGCTCGCGGCTGATTCTGTGAGAGGAGCGCAGCATCCACAGCTTGTTTAAGGTGGGTGTGACAGACATCATCTTTTGAAGGCGAAAAAAAAGTCACCAGGAATGGTTCACTTTTAGATTCCGATTGCTAAAACTGCTAAACTAACAACGTTAAAAGAGATATAGGCGAGTGGAAGTTTAACATTTAATTGAACTTGTATTTTTTTTGGACTGTAATTCCAAAAAAAAAAAAAAAAAAAGTGAATGTTTTTAGTTGCTTCTGTTTGCGGACAGGTTGTTTCTTATTTTTCCGGTGAAAGTAGGTTGAAAACGACGGTTTGTGCATGTAGGCTGGCGCGCCGTTAGTCCATTGTATTGTGGGAGACATTGGCACAGTTGGCACCGACAGACAGACGAGGATTCTTGCATGTCTGCAAATTTGTGCGTGCTAGACACATTTTCATATTGATCTCTTAACGACCCCAAAAGTGGCAAGAGAAGCTTTTCTACTCGACATTCACTGGGAAGGGGGGGGGGAACGTTGCAGGGAGCTCGTCTTTGTTTGCAGCTGCCCGACACGTTGCTGTCAAAAGCGCCTTTGTTTGACGCGGCTTGGGCTAACGACACAAGAAAACGCTCTTTGAAAACCTTGAATTTCAATGAAGGCGATGTGTTGCTTTTGTCAACGAGGACATTGTCAAGGCGAAGGCTGCTCACTATATGCCAATCCTGGGTGTGAATTTGGCAGGGCAAGGCGTGGGCACATGCCAAACCCTTTCTTCTTTTTTTTTTTTTTTTTTCAAAATTAGGCTTTATGTTGAGAGCAAACACCCGACGAATGATGTCACTTTTTTTTTTTTTTTTTTTGAAGTTGGTAGCCTTCATTAAATAATCGGGGAGGGGTCTTTTCACGTGCCAACCGTCTGGTTTTTGGCGACTCACATTAACCTCTTGACCAAAATGACATGGCAACTGATGTGAATTGCTCCATCGATTCTTATGTTGTATTCAACATTTTACCATTTTTGCATCAGAAATTGAGCAAAGGATTTCAATTAATCGAGCTCGCTTTGCGTCTCAAGTCTGCTGTTGTGTTACAGTTGTGTCCCCCTCCTCTTCACCCCCCCCCCCCTCTAATTCCTGCGGCTCAAACACTTGCTGCAAGGAACAGGTGCTCCTTGGTGTGAATTTTCCCATGGACATGTTTATTATCTTACTAATCTCATCTGAAACGTTGCTTTTCAGTTTTTTTATTTTATTGTATTAAAGGCGCAGAGTTGTAGACTTATCCCTGCACCTGGCACTGCCAGTCGTACCCACCCTGATCACAGCCTTTTGTCTCAACCGAATGTGGCTTTGTATCGTTGAATAACAATGAACGAGGCCGTTGGTGGGCATTTGAAAAGCCTCCCCCCCTCCCCTCTCTCTCTCTCTCCCCTGTTTCTTAATGAAGCAGTCCAGGTGCTATGATTGAGGTGAATATCATTAGAGCCACAAGTTGAATGATAAACAATGGCATGCCATTGAAACCAGAGCCTTTTTTGTTTGGCTTGATGGGCGGTGGTTGCTTGCAGTACCAAAAATGGCCACAAGGTGTTAGCAGTGTGCTTATTTAGATTAAAACAGGATAAAACATCCACTAGAGGTCACTGATTTTTAGAGCCATCTGCTATATTGATCATAGTGAGAGAAATCTGACCTTGCCTTGTATTTTCCCTGCAGGTTATTTGACCTGCAGCTCACTCTTGCAATGGCATCCGCTGAAGGTGAGTACACCCTTAAGTAATTCAAATGTGACTTTCTGCTTGATGGTTCAGTGTGTCTAAATACCTCTTTTTTGTGTGTTTTAGATATCCAGGTCAAGGAGCTTGACAAGCGGGCCTCAGGCCAGGCCTTTGAGGTCATCCTGGCCTCTCCTGCCCCAGATGCCAACTTCCCCCTGTCTCCTCCAAAGGCGAAGGATGTATCACTGGAGGAAATCCAGAGGAAACTGGATGCCGCAGAGGAGAGGCGCAAGGTAGAAATGTGTATAGTAAAATGATGACTTAAAGATTGAATTGTACAGATTCCAAATTTTGCAACAATCTGGCGCTAACATTATTATTATTTTTTAACCATCCTTTTTACAGAACCATGAAGCTGAGGTTCTGAAGCACTTAGCTGAGAAGCGTGAGCATGAAAAGGAAGTGCTGAAGAAAGCAATGGAGGAGAACAACAACTTCAGCAAGATGGCTGAGGAGAAGCTCAATCAGAAGTTGGAGGCCAACAAAGAGAACCGCACAGCACTAATGGCAGCCATGAACGAGAAGTTCAAGGAGAAGGTCAGTTGGGAAGATGGGGCTAAAATTATGAGCTTAAATGTTTTTTGTTTTTTTTCACCACAATGTTTAAACCTAAAATTTTATTTTCCTGTTCTTTTTTATAGGACAAGAAGTTGGAAGAGGTACGAAAGAACAAGGAAACCAAAGAGGGCACTTCGGAAGACTGAAAGTTTCAAGCGGGGGATTGTACAGGGTTTTTTACGTATCCAAAGATTGATTTATTTTTTGTTTTGGCAAGTATTTTTGTTGTGTTCACTACCCACCTTTTTAAAATAAATACAAGTTCCACTTTGTGAATGTTTCAATTCTCCTGCTATAAGTGTACTTGCGCTGGTTTTACATGTGCATAGTTTCCCCCCCCCCCCACTTGTTGAGTCTAATCCATGTAGCTTGTCAGTGCAGCTTCTGCCCTTTTTGGAAATTAGCCGTGTACTCATCTTTTTTTGAGGAAGCATGTTTCTATGCATAGGTCTTTTATCCTTGCCTATTTCATAGTGCGTTTTTGAATCGTGTTCCTGTGAACCGCAACTGTTCCTGGCACTTACTGTTTATTAGAAAAACAAGGAAAGTAGCACAAGATTCGATCAAGGCGTCGGCTGTTATACATGCAGGTGTGAAGTGCGGCTTTGCTACCCAGATTCTGCTGTTTTGCTCCTGCACATGTTTTGTGCCGCTGCTTTTTTTTCTTTTTTTCTTTTTTTTTTTGGGCTTTTGTAAAAATATGGAGTTGTCTTTAAAGCACATGACATCTTGCTGTATAGCTGTGAATTAAAAACATGTTGGACATGTAAATGGTTGCCATCTGGAAAATCAGTGAACAGGGGTCTACACATGGAATGCAAACGAGCAATACACTTTGGCATCTCAATAGATACAGTGGCTAGTTGACTTGAACTGTTGTACTAAAACAAATAAAAAAACCTGTAAACACACTCTATTGAGAATGTCTCCTTTACATTTTGATTTGTATAGTTCTGTTGTGATGGAAGGATAGAAATCAACTTTATTAATCCCTTGGGAAGGTTCCCTCTGGTAACTTCAGATTCCAGCAGCAGGTAGCACCAAGTAGAGAAAAGCAGCTAAACGGCAAATGTGTCAATGTTTACAGTAGGGAACACAATATTTCTGTAAAACATTTGAAGGTTTGTCCTTTATGGCTTTCAAATGTTGCACCAGAACACATGTCCAGTTATGCAACATCACAGACTCCAAATAAAAAGTACATGACACATACTTCTAAAAGTGAGGTGAGAACATGGGTGCTTCAACTCAAATGTTTTCGATACTAATTTCTGGAATAATGACACTAGTTTGTTGTTGAACCTTCATACAGCTCTAGTGGATTATGTAATGTAAAGGATTGTTTATGTTGCCCCCTGCTGGAGAAAATTAGGAAAGACTAATTGTTTTTCTCATTTCGATTCAAACCTACAAAGTCATTTGAAGTAGATGCCCATCATGGGAGATAATAAATCACTATTTGATGATGATGCTGTTTCTAAGAACCATCAAATCCAACATATTAAGAGAGTTGAGGCCTTTTGTTGTCTTGTGGTTGTACACGTCGCACATGTTCACAATCTGTGAACCAGAATACGAAGCTGCAGTCTTTGTCTCCCTCTGTTGGTAGTTTGATAAAAGCCTTCTAAAAAGATGAATCACTTCACTTTTTGGGGCTTGATTGGTGCAGACAGATTTTATTATTTTGGTGTAAGCGGTGGCATTTAAAAAAAAAAAAAAATATATATATATATATACAGTGTAATCATCAACTTTTATTGGCAACAGACATTGACTAAATGAACAATGTCAAACAGACTCTTAACTTTATCATAGTAACATTTTTGTGAGAAATATTACTAAAAGATAAGTTCAAACATCATGGCTGTCTCCCTCTGACAAATTTCCAGCTCTCTCTATCAACCAGTGGGTTATTTAAAATATAGCGGCTACTCTGACAATGTCAACCCTGTAAGCCCTAAATCGTCATATATTTTTCACCCATAGGCACCGGCAGAGGGGCAACAAGCCGAACTGCTCTGCAGGTATAAACAGCAACCTGTTTACCTAACTTAGACTATGAATCCCTAAGAGACATCCAGAATTATTTTTGATTAAATATGTTTAATACAAAACACCAGCTTTATTATTATTTTGCCACTTAGAGTTCACATTTCCCCCTATCAAATATATATGTCTTTTTTTCTTTTTTTTTGACTGTTTAAATTTATTTTCAACATCAACTGTAAAACAATAATCCATGAACTAAAGGGTGATTATATTTTCCTTTAATCCAGTTAATAGACATTTTGAAGTATAAGTAATAATCTAAATGTTTTCTTGCCTTGTCTCTTCAAAATTGTCGTACATTTTTATGGTAAACCACATTGTGTCACTGATTGACCACAGCATCCACCATTTTTGATGCGTCATACACATGTTCTCGTGTGCATGCCATCTGCCCCCTAGTGGACTATCTGTGTACTGCACGTCTCTGGCTGTATAGCCTACATTTGATCAAGGGGGATAAAAAGCTCTCACTAGGATGTAGAGGTCAGAAAAACATTTGTAACAAACATGATGCACTTCGCTTTTTAGTGTTAATACTTTTGAATATATCCTTCAATTCTAATTTTAACTCATAATTTGTGATCTTGTAGTTTCACTTTTACAGTTTGATGCCATCACAATTAATTTCAAGGTTTTTACAATTAATAAATAACAAAAATAAAACCTAAGGGTTGGAGGCTTAATCATGAAATATACACCAGTGTTTTAGGAGGGTGACACACAAAGACAGCAATGGTGGAAGCACTGAGTTACAATGATAAACTTTTGGGGCAGCTTTGGCTAAGTTGGTAGAGTTGGATGTCTCACAACCAAAAAGTGTGGGCTTCAATCCCCAGCTCCTGCAGCAACATGTCCGATGTGTCCTTGGGCAAGACACTTAACCCCAGGTTGCTCCCAATGCATCGTCGGCGTGTATGAATGGGATTAGTTACATCCCTTTACATAGCAACCTCTTCCAAATGGGTGTGATTGTGTAGGTGTGACCTGCAGTGTAATAGAACTTGGAGTAGTCAGAAGACTAGAAAAGTGCTATACAAGCTAATTGTACAATAAGCTAATTGGAACTGTTACTATAAGAAATTAGATTAAATAATTCAAACTAATTAACATTTTTAAAATTATATCCTAGTTATGAGAGCAGTCTCACTGATTGGCAGCATAGTGAAGGAGAAAATACATACATGTATTTAGCTTATATAATACTGATATAAAAGTGCTGCGCTCACAAGCTCCATTACAAGAGAAAATCATTAAATCCCTAAAACGTACACAAACATTAGCATCTGAATGAGCTTAATGCACAGCAGACAGGAGATTAGTCCCTGTCTGCGTTGGATATATGTTATTGATGTTTTAATACATATGCAGTGCTTTAATGATGAAGTGGATTGAGACAGAGTTTATTCTGTCTGATTTTTCATTCTGCTTACTGTCAACACAGATAAACCAAGGTAAGAGATGACTCCATTCAACCTGTGTAGAGTTTTAGGCAAGAACAAGATGATGACATTCAAGCCCAAGTTTAGAGGGTTGAAAATGCTTTTGTTAAACCAAGTCCCATGTAAAACTAAAAGGAAATATGACAATCACACAAACTTTCAATGGGTTTTGCTCTATGGCTGAACAAGGGGGATAATACCCAACAACACTCAAAATAACCTCTGGGCTAGCTATACCCCCCAAGTTGCCAATTTTATCAGCCCACCCTTATTAGAAGGGCTAAAACTGGCCTTGGATTTGCAGTGAGGAGCCCTTAGGCTGAATCCCAGGGGCTGTTCATAAAACTTTAAACCTTCTAATAGCCTATATCTCCTAAAAATGAAACAGTTATTTATATAATTCATATATTCATTTGATTATCTTTCATGGGTGTATAATGAAAACAGACTAGGCTTTATGATGACACATGAAACAGTCATCATGAGGCATGAATTCAGTAATCGGGAAAATGAGCCTGACTTCCCGTTCGATGTGAATGCAAGCGGAATGTTTTGCGCACTCCCCATTCTGCATTCTCTTCTACAACATTACCGTCGTAAATCAGGGATCTTTTATTCCTTTCTACCTTTCTAACAACATGTCATGACAGCATAAGCAATTGGATTTGAATGGCACTGGTTGGCACTAGGCTACATTAACATTAGCTAGCCTGTTTCATTGTAGTTATCAATACCATGGCGACGGCTGCAGACACTCACTTAAAATCTATCAAGAAAAGTTGGATTTTCAGAGGAAGAGGGGGAACACATCAAGAGGGCGGACTACCCCAGAATTAACCAAACTACAGTACTAACAGTCAGCGACAGGTAGCATAGCCGACTCCTGCAGGTGTTCAGTTCACGAGCCATTACGAGGAGGAAAGCTGAATCCTGCAACCAAAAGTCATCATCACATGTACAAAGTCGGACAACGCTGAAAACCAAAGTAACCTGGAGGTCTTTATGGGCAAGCTTTATGCTGTAACACGTGTGAGGAAACATGGATGGATGGATTTTTAAAAGCCCCAATCTACAGGCTGAATTGTATAGTTTGATTGTGTTCTTCTTCCTCATAACCGGTCGCTGTACCACACTGTCTCTTGTACAATATTAAATTCTGCTGGGAAAGTTTGCCATTCAGTATTTTGTGCTGGTGTTGTAAGTGCATCTTGTGCCAAATGATAAGCTTTAGATATTGAGTTTCAATTGTGATTAAAACGTGCTTTTCAAAACCAGGTGAGTATAAACAAGGGGTGTTATGAATTAAATTTTTTTTTTTTTTACTAACACAGCAGCTGGTTAAGTGGTAGACGCACAACCTTTACCTTGACACTGCGGTCAAGCCAGCCGCTGCTTGAAAAATAATGCGTGTCTACACGGTACGGGTGCCTGAAGCGCCCAAAAAGCAGCGTATTTTGATAACTTGTTATGAAATGTAAAAAACAATAAAAAATGCATTACAAAAATTGTAATAGTCCTCTAAGTTTTAAGATGGTTTTAATGAAAAGTTTTTGAGAAAATTTAGTTTAATTCTTCTCAAATTGCCTAGAGACACTGATATTTAAGTTACACTTATACTTATCATTTATTTTGAAAAATCGTCGACAGGTGACAAGAAACTTTCAATGGATTCTTGTTCCTCATGTCCCTGGCTTACCTTTTAAGATCATTAACTCCAGTTTTATGAGAAACATTACATTAGTTCATGGCTTTCATAACGCAACCATAGCTGTTAACTATAAAACCCACCCTGCCTAACCTGTCGCTGATCTCACGATGGTGTTTCTGTCCCTGTCCTTGCTTGCAAACTGGTCCAAAAAGCTTCAGACTGGTTCCAGGAAGGGGATTAATATCAGTCTGGTCCTCCTAGCATCCATTCACTGGCTCGTAAAAGGCGTTCCAGGGTTCACTTGAAGGTTGCATTGTTTGTTTTCAAAGCCTTGATGGACTTGCCCACCCTCTAAAAATGGACCATCCCTTAGACCTTTTGGCTGCAAAATAAATCTACCTACTGGCACAAATAAAGTAACCTGAACCTGAGATGTCTGATCCCTCACTCAAGACTTCAACTTGGAGGTTAAAGCCCCTTATATGTGGAACAGCCCCTCACCCCCTCTCGCTCAGTTAAGTTCAAGTCCCTCCTTATTATACTCTTACATGTAGGTGTTTGAGTCCTCTGGTCCTTCATAGGCGGCTTGCCTCCTGTATTCTGGGTTTTCTGTGGTTTCTCATGTATTGATTCCATCATGCATCGAAAAGCACTTTGGTCAGCTGCTGCTGTTTCTAAATGTGCTTTAGTTTGACTTTACTGGACTGCTCGTTATTTTGAGTATGTTGTTGCCTGTGTTGCGTTAATATTGTTGATGCATTAACAGTGATTTGAT